GTAAAGCTAAATTAGTTAATGCGACAAAGCTAATCTGATCTTAAATTGCAAAGGTCAAAGTATAAGGTCCAAGAGTAAGTTAGTGATAGTCAAACTGTATTTTGTCCCTGTCTGAATATAATATTCCAAATGTGGTCCAATCTAAACATATATTAGAAAGAATATTGATAAGCTTGAGTATGTCCAGAGAAGAGTAACCAGCATGGAGAAACAGAGTCTTAAACTAGAGATGATTTACCTGAAGAAAAGCATGTTGGACTTTTTTTGTTATAGCAAAGAATTAGAAACAAAGTAGATGCCCATCAATCCAGCAATGGCTAAACAAACTATGGTGCACAAATGTAATGGAATATTACTGTGCTGTGAGAAATTACTTATGTGATGAATACAGAGAAGAACGGAAAGATCAGAGTCTTTTTTTTTTTTTGGTTAGGCAATGGGATTAAATGACTTGCCCAGGGTCACACCGCTAGTAAGTGTTATGCGTCTGAGGCCGCATTTGAACTCAGGTCCTCCTGAATCCAGGGCCAGTGCTCTATCTACTGTGCCACCTACCTGCCCCAGTGGGGTTTAAGCTGAATCTTTTTTTTTGGTTGGTTGGAAAGATCTACATGAAGTGATGCAGACTGAAGTAAGCAAAGCCAAGAAAACAATATACACAATGATGTCAAAAATGTAAATGGAAAGATACACACATATATACAAATCAGTAATGAATGCTGCAAAATTATAAGGAACAAAGTATGGCTCAAAAGAACAGATGAGGCCCCACCTATTTGCAGAAGTGGGAGGTACATAAGTGTACACTGAACATGTTTTCAAACTTTTCTGAAGCATTAATCAGTTACGCTGGGCTTTTTTCTGTTCTTTTTCCTTTTCGTCTTTAAAAAATACTATCTGTAATATGGAATAGTTCTCAAAGTGAGAGATCCTGGGAGAAACAATGATGATATAAAAACAGACCAACAAAATCTTGTTTTTAAGAAATGAAAAGCATGATGGGGGGAAGGGGGATGGGATAGAATATAATCACATGCTAAAATATTTGAAGTATTGTTATTTGGAAGAGGAACTAGAAATATTCTGCTCAGTCCAAAAGGGTAGAACTAAAACCAGTTGGCAAAAGGTAAAGGAGGAAGATTTCAGCTCAAGACCTTTCTAATATAACACCTGTGTCAGTGCCTTAGTGAATAAGAAAAGTGGAATAAATGGGCTGCCTCATTAAGTAATCTTCAAGCAAAGCCCTGATGACCACCTATAGAGGATGCCATAGAAATGATAACATGCTTCACTTAGTAAAGTAGGTCATTTCTAACTCTGAAATTCTATGATTCATATAAGTTCATAAATACCTTCTGGGTTTGGTCCTATAGAGTTTACAATTTAACGAAACAACAGTTCAGTATATTCCCAGTTCAAAATACTACCTTAAAATATTATATTTTAAAGTTCCTAAAGTTTTGAATATAAAACCTCAAAACCTATTTATGTTAATTATCCAAAAATGTTCCCATCATCTTAATAGCCAACTTTCAATTGCTGATTTTTAAAAATTATCTGCATCTAGTTGTTAATTCCACCCTTCCAACTAAACACTTCTAAGTCATCTCCAACCTAACCATATCTATTAAATAGTCTATGTTCAAGAAATTCTTATATCTTTCTGAAATAAGCTTTGCCAGAGAGAACGTCCGGATAAGTTCTGGTGTTCTCAGGGCCAGATCAGTGGTAAGAGTAGCTGAGAAAGGGAAAGCAACAGGATCACCTCAGTTTCAGGAATAAGTCTCTTCCTGAGCCCCACACAGCCTGGTCATCTGGGAGTTGAGAGGTACCTTCAAGACCATCTTGTGAAGTCTACAAATTCAGAGCTAAAAGAATCTTAGACATCTAGTTTCTTAATTTCACAGATGAGATGACACCCACACAAGTGAAATAGCTGCTAAGATAGCTGCAGACTAAAGACTAGAACTTAATTTTCCTGACCCTCAGGTCATTGCTCTTTCTACTTCATCCTCTGACTTTTCATCAGTAGATTCAAAAGACTATGCCAAGAGATGAAAACAGCTGAAGATTCTGTAGTAAACACTCAAATGCTCACTATTTCTTTACATTATTAGATTAGTCAGGTCTTTAAGAACCTACAGCATACTTTACCTAGTCCTTATGGTTCATTATCAATCAGCATAACTAATTTCTAAATAATCAGAATATTAAAGGCAGAAATAACCACTTAAATGTAATTGTGTCCAAATATGCTATAAGATATTAAGATAATTTATTCTCCTAGTTTAAGCATCAGACACTATTATAACAGTTTAATTTTTATATTCATTCCCATAGAAAAGTGAAAAGAAAAATTCAGTCTAAATATCAGTGAAAGCTCCTAAGAATAACCCTTCCATTTCCTTTTCTCAAACATATTTTAGAAGATAATTAAAGAGAAAACTAAAGAAACACCACTTCAACTGCACCACTATACCCAGAGCCAGCAAAATCATGCTCTTTTATGCCAACTGCTGTCAAGACACACTGCTATTGTTTCTAAAAAGTCCTGTGAGAGCAGAGATTTTCTTACCACTCCCCCCCTCCAAAAAAGATAAAAATAAATAACAACCCTTAACAAAATGGGCAAAGGTTTCCAGAATGTGTTATCTAGAAAACCACCATTCTAACCTCACAGGGATTCTATTACTGTAGACAATTGCAGCCCACTCACTAGAGGGAAAATTAGGTGAATAAAAAAATGTACTTTCCCCATAAAACTGAAGTTCAGGAATAAGAAAGTTACTTCTCTCTCCTTTACCCACTAGATACCTTAGTATTTCTATAGATTCTCTCTTTCATATATGTCACAACTTTCTAATTATTTACATCTACAAATGTATGTATGTGTGTATGTAGGTATACATATGGATACACATATATAACACTGTAATAAATTTTCAACTTTTAAGCATAATCTAAGTTCAATTGAACACAGTGATAAATAAGGTCAACTGTGTGGTTTTGATAAGCTTCTCATAAAGGAAAAATTTTCCGCAACAGGCTGGGGTTTTTTGCATTTTTTTAAATCCTCAATGCCTAGTGAAGTGCCTGGCACACAGTAGGCATTTACAATAAATGCTTGTGGAATGAGTAACTAATTGACCTTTACTCTCAGAAAACACGTTATAGGTTCAAATGAAATGACTGAGCCAACCCTCTTAAAGTCTCAGAAGTACATGTTCAAAGGTGAGACCTACCGTGAGTAATCTAATCAATACCTAATGTAGGACAAATATTTCTAAAGATGTACCTATACAAAGCTTCCTCTCCAAAGCGAACATCAGGGATAGCCCTTTTTCTAATGAAATTTCATGACTACACATCACAGATAAATTATTTCATAGATGCCATTACCGAATGTTAATCACCATTTGCTAATACTACACTCTTCGTAGATATGTTAGGATTAAAGACAAAAAGGTCGAGCTGGAGGACAATTAGCAAATTTATGAATCAGGCTATTCCAATATGAAAAATAATTAGCTTAGCATCTTAAATTTTGACTACCTACATAAAACTCAAAATTCAAACATAATATGAACTGTACGGGGGTACTTTATAGTTAGAGCAGCTGACATATAAATCTTGCACAACAGGGTTCTAATTAAAGAATTTGCTAATTATTCTTTCATCTTCAGCACTGACAAAGATTGAACCACGTATGAAAAGGAAGAGAACTTTTTTTAAAGCACTGATTACTGTTCATTAGAAAATCAAAGGGAACTCGATTAAATAGCAATATAGTAAAGAACTACTAAATCTCCAACACACTGTCAACCACACTTCCAAGATGATAAAAAGCTATTACTCAGTTAACTTTCACTCCCTTCTCTAGACACCCAGACCCTCTCCTTTGTCCCATTCTCTTTTCCCCTCTAAAGTAAGCCCAACCCTTCTTTTCCTTTCTTCCCTACTTTTTTCAAATCATTTTTTTCCTTCACTTCCATCTATTCAAGAAAAAGGATTCCTCCAGTCTCTTCCTCTTCAGGCTGCACCCCCAGTAAAAACAAAAACCACTCCAAAATCCAAAAGAAAATTCCACTTCGCCCTCTGGTCATCGCTCCCATTACCTCGCCCCCTTCCTCACACACCAGTGTCTAATTTACCGAACTTCCTTCATTCCGGCACGGCAGTACCGACTTCTTCATTCTTCGGACCCCTTCATTCTGCCCCTGGGACCGCCCCCGGGTCCAGCGGTTCTCAAGGCGTGGTCTTAGGTGGCAGCCCGCCGCGTTTCTTACGGGAACAGTGCGGGAAAGCACGTGTTCACTTTCATTTAGGGGTAAAGTCATTTGATGGAATTTTTTTTTTTAAAGAAACTGACAAACTCACTTCGGTCTCATCAAAAGCGAGGAAGGTCTTGCATTAATTAAGGTGGAAGATTTTTGCTGAGGAGGGGGGGTTGGAGACTAAGGGGAGGCGGAGGGTTTGCAAGGCTGGGTGGAGGAAGGGCTGCAAAGTGCCAAGCAGGTGAGGCACGCGGGTGGTCCCACGGCTCTCGGGCACTGCCAGAGCCCCCGGCCGAAAAGTTTCAGAATCATTCACATCCCTGTTCCCTCACCCTAAAACTCTTTCTAAAAGCCTTGCAAACGCTGAGGCTCCATCTCCCCTGCATTCCCTACACTTCTCATTCCGTTTTTTTTTCTTTTCTACATTTCCTCCCCCCGCCCCGCCCGCTCTAGTTTCCTTTTCCCTATATCCAGCTTCTTTCTTCCCTCCCCCTGCCAAGATGCCCCAACATCTGCCCTTTCCTACCCCCTTCCCCCTCCCCAGCCCCGGGGGAAAGTGTCAGTCAACCTAACTGAACGTCTGGGCAAGTGAGCTCGCGGGTATTCGGCACCCCCCCACTCGCCCCACTCGCCCCAGCGAGCCGGGGGGGGGTTGGGGTCCCGTCCCGCCCCGCCCCCCGCCGGCTCCCCGGCGCCGGCCCCGCCTCGTTTCCCCAGCCCCCCTACCTGCTCCGGGGGCTCTGCTGCCGGCACCGCCGGGGGCCGCCCTCTGGTGCCCGGGACCGGTAGGGCCGGAGGCGGCGTGGCCCCCCGTGCCCCCTCCTCCGGCCTCGGGGCGATGCGGCTGCCTCGGGTGGCGGTGGCGGTGGCGCCGGCCGTGCTCCGGGAGGGTGGCCCCGGGCGGCGGCGGCGGGAAGGGAGCGGCTGCTGCGGCGGCGGCCGGGGCAGGAGCGGCGGCGGCCGCGCTTCCGCTCATGGCGAGCCGCCGGGGGCCCCGGGCTGGGCGGGAGCGGCTCTGCTCGGGAGCGGCCTGGGCCCGGCCGGGCGGCGGCGGCGGCGGAGGAGAAGGAGGAGGCGGCGGAGGAGGAGGCGGGGAGCCCGAGCGGGAGGAGGAGGCGAGGGAGGAGGAAGCGGCGGCGGCTCCCAGCAGGAGGAGGAGCAGGAGCAGGAGCGCGAGCCCGGGAGCAGCCCCAGCCCGGGGAGGAGCAGCCGAGGAGGAGGAGGAAGAGGCTGGGGAAGGAGGAGCGGAGGAAGAGGAGGAGGAGGAAGGGACCGCCGTCTGTTGGCCGCGGACCCGGGGGGCTCCCGGCGCCGCCGCTCAGCCGTCCCGGGGGCCGGCCTGGAGAGCGCTGCCCGCACTGCTGGGCGGCCGGACGAGCGCGGGGATGGGCATCGCCCTCCCGCCTCCGAGCTCGGGGGGCCTGGACGGCGGGGTCCCAGCCCCGGTCCCGGTCCGGGTCCTGGTCCTAGTCCTAAGGGCACGGATGGTGCGGCCCGGCGGTGAGAGCTGGCGCCCGCGAGGGCAGGCTTCCGGGCACGGAGCGCAAACTAAGTTCAGGGACCAAAGTGGACGGAGGAGGAGCACGGTCACGACGGAGCGAGCGCCCGCCCCTCCGCACCCGCAGCCCCAAGGAGTGGAGCTGGGGGGGGGAGGTGGTTAGGGAGCCTCGCCCGCCCCAGGGGATCCCTGCGGGTGCCCCGGGCTGTAACTTCCTGCCTCCCCCCGTTTTCCAGAAGATGCTCCCCAACTCACACCCCACCCCTACCCCCCGCCCCGACCTTGGCCTTGGGGCAAGTCATTCATTGGTTTGCTCCGGTAAGTCAGTCTGTCTGTCTCCATCTCTCAGTCTTTTTCCCCTCTGTGATCTTTCTCTCGTCTCTTGTCTCTTCTCCTGTCTCTCTCTGTCTCTCTCTCTCCCTCTCTCTCCCTCTCCCTCTCTCCCTCTCTCTTTCTCTCTCTCTGTCTCTCTCTCTCTCCCTTCCTCTCCTCTCCTCTTCTCTCCTCTTTTCTCTCGCTTCTATTTTCTTCTCTCCTCCTCCTCCCTTTCCTTCTCTTCTCTCTCCTCTTCTGTCTCTTTTCTCTCGCTTCTCTTCTCCTCCTCCTTCCTTCCTTCCTTTCTCTCTCCCTCTCTCTCTCCCTCTCCCCTCCCCTCCCTCTCCTCCTCTCCTCTCCCTTTTCTCGTCTCTCTTTCTCTCCTCTCCTGTCCCCCGTGTCTCTCTTTTCTTCCTCTCCTGTCTCTCTCCTCTCTTCTTTCTCTCTGTCTCTCTCTCCTTCTCTCTCCCCTTCTTCCTCCCTCTCCCCCTTCTCTCTTGCTATCTTGCCTCTCCTCTCTTTTCTTTCTCACTCTTCTTTCCTCTAGTCTGCCCCCCCTCCTTCTTTCGTCTGTCTCATCTCTCTCTCTCTCTCCTCTCCCACTTGTCTCTCTTCTCTTGTCTTCCATGTCTCTCCTCTTTCTCTTCTCTCCTGTCTCTCTTTTCTCTGGTTTCTCTTCTTCTTCTTCCTCCTTTCCCTCTCTCTCCCCCTCTCTCTGTCTCTCTCCTTCCCCCTCTCTTCTCCTCTCTTCCTCCCTCCCCCCTTCCCCCTTTCCCTCCCTCTCTATCTCGCTCTCTTTCCCTCTCCTTCTCTCTCCCTCTCCCCATCCCTTCTTTTCCCTTTGCTGCTGCTAAAAAGAAAAAAAAAATAACCCTTCCTTTCTTAGGATCTCTGTGTATGTGTTGTCGCCCCAGCTGACTCTTCTATATCTTACAGATACTAACCAATCCCCTCCAATCCAGGGAGAGGGTTAAAGGAGGAAGGGAAAGGTATGATGGGGCTGAGCTTCTCACATGTTAAAAAAAAAAATCTTGAAGCTTAGAAGGAGACATGAAAAGGAAAGCAAAAAAAAAAAAAAATTTCCAGGAAACTCATGACATCTCTGGCCTGAAGCCCTGCTTTCAGAAAGCAAGTACAGAAAGTGCTCTCCATGTCTAACCATTCTTTTCATAGCTTTAGAGCCAGAATATGCCTTTGTGTTCATCCAATCCAGATGCTTAGTTTGACAGAAGAGGAAATGGAGACCAGAGAGTGGGGACCTTAGTGGTTGCCTATGGTCACACAGGTAGTCTGAACTTGAACCCAGACCCTCTGGCTCCAAAGCTAGCTTTCTTTTTCATAGTACCATGTATTTTTTTTTCTCTCTCTCTCTCTGTTCCCACCTCTACATATGCAGACACTTTTTATTTTATATCTAGTTTTGCTCCATGTTTTATGGATAATTATAAATATCATCAAGGGTCTAGATAGCTGGCCAAGAAGGGTTTAACCTTGGAAATAAGATGTTGGGAATGGAGTTGGGTTGAAAGGAATGTCTCCATGTAGTTAAGGAGGCTTTTAAGTCTTGCTAAAAGTTTGTTCTTAAGAATATATTTGGTATACCCTTCAAATGCCCTCTCTCCTTTCCCCCCCCAAATTAGGTATTTATAGTCCCTGTGTCTTTACCCTAAACAGTGTCATGCATTTGCTGACTTTTTTCTCACTTGGCACAATGAAATGAGCACTGGACTTGCAGTTTGAAGAAGTAGAAAGCAGGCTGGACCTGGAGTCAGAAAGTCGGGATTTGATCTCTGTAGGATGATAAATTTAGAGCAGATCTCAGTGATCATTTCCAAAGGTTCCCAAAGTGGGCAGTGCCATTCCCTGTGGGGCACTGGAATGAGGGGGGGGAGGCTGATAGTAGCCTTTGCAATTGGGGGCATTGAATAAAAATAAGGGGGCAGTGGAAGCATAAGGAAAGAAGAGAGAAAAAATTTAAAAAACTGTGCATCTTTCATCTGTTGTGTAACAGAGTTTAAGTTGTAATGATTACATCATTTTCCAAATAAACACACAAAATGCAAGTTATAACCAGTTAGTGGTCAAATCTGCTGACAGGTCTTAACAAGCAAGTGTTGGCAAGAGAGTGTGTTGTGCATTGTCTGAAAGTCCAGCATTCATCAGCCGGAATATGTGCATGTAGTGACTTGTTTACGATATGATACTATACAGTTATAAGACACAATATTGTATCACCAAAATTTTAATGCAGGAAAATCTCACAAATTTACAATAAATTATTAAATTTAAGATGCATCATTTAAAAATGTATTTCATATTTTTAAATGATGCAAATTTCCAAAAAACTGTTAGAGAACTAAAGAAAGATTGAGGGGGGCACTGAGTAATTTTTTTAAAAAGGGGTGGTAGGCCAAATAAGTTTGGGAACCTCTGATTTAATCAAACTCCGTTTTATAGATATATAGACCGGAAAATTGAGGCCCGGGAAGGTAAAGCAACATATTTTCTGCTGGTTCTCCTACTTGTCTGACTGGTCCTCAGTCTCCTTTGCTGGATCTTTTTCCAAGGCATGCCCACTCACTGAAACTCCAAGTTTCTGCCCTGGGCCCTCTTCTGTTATCCACCTATACCAGGCTTGCACAATCTGTTGCCCACCAAAGGATTTCCGGTGGCCCTGGAAAAATGTAGAGGAAAACATTCTCTACATTTTTTGCAGGCTTCAGTAAATCCTTTGGCATGCCTTTGGGCTGTAGGGGCTACAGGTTATGCAGGCCTGCCCTGTACTATCTCACCAGCTCCAAAAGAACTCAATTGTCATCTCTATGCAAATATTCTCAAATCTATTTATCCAGACCTAATCTCTCTCCTGAGCTCCAGTCTCCCCTAACTTCCTACTGGATATCTCAAACGGTATTTCCCAAAGCCACCTCAGCTCAACATATCCAACACTGAACTCAGTATCTTCCCATCCAGCCCAACCCTTACTAACTTCCACATTACTGTCAAGGGCATCACCGTCCTCCCAGTTGTCCAAGCTCACAATCTTGCTGCCGTCCTCAGGTTCTTACTTTCCCACCCCACCAAATGTCATTTAGAGTAGCTCTCATATACGCCCTCCTCTCTCCACTCACACCAGCCACTCTGGGTACAGGCCTTCACCACTTCAAGGTAATCTGAGTTAAATCCCACCTTCTGTAAGAGGTCTTTCCTGTTCTACCCTTCTCCCATCCCCCTATTGCCAGTGCCTTCCCTCTGAGATTACCTCCTGTTTGCACTGTATGTATTATGTATGTTCATTGTTGTTTGCGTGTTTTCTCAAGCTTCTTGAGGGTAAGTTTCATGTTTTTGCCTTTCTCATGGTGCTTAATACATGTTTGTTCATTGACTGATTTTTAAGGAAAAGAACTAGAGGAATGCTGATAGGTATTTCTCCTATTTCTTACCCTTGCGGCTTTTCTTTTTAAGGCTGAACGCCCTGTTTCCCTCACCGGATCTTTATATCAGATGGCCTGAAGGCCTTCTCCATCCTAAACTGCTCTCTTTTGGACATTCTCTAGATTATCAATATCCTTCTTAAACCATGGTGCCAGTACTGAACACGATACCCCAGATGAGGTCTCACAAAGGGACCATCACTTCCTTATTTCTAGAAGCTGTACCTCTCATACTTCAGGCCCAAGACTGTATTAGTTTTCTTGGCTGTCTCATCACATTGCTAACTTATATTGAGCTTAAAGTCTACTAAAACTCTCAGAGCATCTTTATAACTGTTATCTAATCATGGCCTCCCTCATTTTATGCTATTAGAGCTGGGTTTTATCATTATTATTACTATTGTTACTTAGAGTTATTACTTAAGTGCAAAAACTCTATAGTTATCTCTGTTGTAATGCCACTCAGTTACTAGCTGTGTAACCCTAGGCAAGTTTCATAACCTCTGTCTGCCTCAGTTTCCTTAAAATGGGGCTAATAATAATAATACCTACCTCCCCCAGAGTGGCTGTGAGGATCAGATAAGAGAATATTTGTAAAGTGTTTAATATAGTGCCTGGCATTTAGTAAAAACTTAACAAATGTTTATTTTTTTCCTTCCTT